TCAAACTGGGCCAGGCCCCGTGGTTTTTCCCCCTTTTTAGGGGTTTTCCACGTAAAAACTTTGGTGTCTCTTATGAATGCTACACCCTCTCACTTATCTGTTTGTGTGCTGGATCTTCGTACAATGTTAAGACGTTAAACTAAATATTTCTCTACCGTCGCGAATACTCCAGGACGCAACAATATCTACTATGAGATATAATGGGTCAAAATCTTTTGAGATTTTGTCTGTATTATGGATTTTTTTTATTGTCTGTGTAAAATATTAATTATACTACAACACTATTTTTCAGTGTCCAAAACATTTTCTATCTAATAAAAATAGCAAAATTTCCAAAATTTCTAACAAATTTTTTTCAAAAAATATTCATAACGTTCATAATTTTAATCTTTATACTATATAAAAAGTTATGCATGTAGAGAATTTTTTACTGTTATGAAGAATACCCTTTAAAAATTCTCTTTCTTAGGTCATTAGCATGCAATGTCACAACTTTTAACCTGTGGCGAAAGATGTTGAGAAAAATTTGCCAATAAAGTTTGACCTGCCTGAAATTATTTGTTAGAGTGTTATTATACGATATTAATTTGTATGAAATATGTTGAGAAAAGTTTACCAATAATACTTAACCTAGTTGAGGTTGTTTGTCAGATCATTGCTAAATGATATTAATATATTCCTAAGAGGTCAAAAGAAATCCATAAAGGTGTTTGACCTATCTATATTTAATAGAGTTTTGACATTAACATGAGGTTGAGAAAAATCCATCAATGATGTTTGATCTATCATAAGCTATTTATTAGAATATTGTTTAATTATATTAACCTATGCCAAAGAGGTTGAGAGAAATCTGTCAAGAATTTTTTACCTACCCATGATTATTTGTTAAAGCATTTTATGATGTTAACCGACTGTCTATCAAATACATTTGACCTATCTAAAACTGTCTATCAAAGCATTGCTTAATGATGATAATATGTATGGAAGAGGTAAACAAAAATCTACTACGGACATTTAACCTATCTAAGTTTTATTTTTATAGAACATTGCTCGATGATGTTGATTTATGCGGAAGCAGTTAATAATAAATCCACCATGGATCAACTCTACCTTTATTGGGAGGAGGAGAATGTCATTAATTTGTATCTTGAATCAAATGTGAAAATTGACTTGTTTTTAGACCATTTTTATCCTTTCATGGTCATGATTATGAAATATCGAACTGGGGACTTTATGTATAGCTTGAAATACTCAAGGTTTTCTTGAAAATTTATGTATATTTTTCATAAGTTTTTAAAATGATCATTATCAATAAGATTGCATAGGATGAATCGAAAAATGTTTGATGAAATGACATAATTAACTACAAATATGCTTAAAATGTCCATTTAAGGTTGTAACTATGGTTTCCCCTTAGTTTGACCTGCTCCCCATTAAATTGATGCAATAACTGGTGATAGAAGGGATGAGTTTTTTTGGCTATCATCATTCATAGGATGTTGTAAATTCCATGTTTTATTTCTTTTAGAAATGATAAAATGATATATCGCAAAGGCATTGCCAAGCTATAATCATGATCAAGACATTGACGTCAATAAACTTTCAAGATATAGCAAGGGTTGCACGCCAGAATATTAATGGCAGCGCAGTACATAGAGTGCTTAATGTCTTAGTAATTATGTAAGTTCATGCACATATAGATAAAAGAGGAGCTGCAAGAGATAACTAAGCTTTTACATAAAAAATGAAAAAGAAATTGAACAAAAATTATGGGACATATTTTAGTTAAAATGATTTCACTATGTTATAATTAGAAATTTATTTAGCTCATTGGATTTGTCTCGTTCGGATGATTAATTTGATTATAAGCATGTGAAATTTTAAAATAGTTTGGTCCTTTAATTCATGTCTCAAAATTCTCTATTACGCTTTAAGTGCTTGATTTGGGCTCATTCATGCTCGAATTAAATCACTTTGGTGTTATTTAGTTTGTTTCATTTAGACTTTCAGCTTGATTATAAGTCTGCCGAAAGCAAAGTTTAGATGATCCTCAATTTAATTGTTAAATATTGCAATGCATCTATCAACATTTATAAGCTCATCAAGGTATTTAAAATAATGCAAAATATGAAATATACCCGGTTAAAATCCAACATGATTATACTAATACATGCTAAATAAATAGAATAATATACTTTAATAAATATACTAGAGCATCATATCAATATTAAATATGTAATAGGAAGGCAATGTGATATATTTCTTGCTTAGAATGGAGCATGCGAATAAGTTGAAATGAACAAGGAATTTCAAGTTGGTTCAATGGAGTTTCAAACGTGAAATTTAAAGATGGCTTACTTAACTAAGAAGATTTATCTTATAACGCAAAGGTTAGTAAAATCTCACTGCCTTTCTTGTCTTTCTATAGAGATCAATATCTTAATGATCAATATCTTAATAATTTTACAAGTACTCAAAAGCTCAAGGATTAAAATGTTCTTTCTATTGATAAAGGAAATAGTATAAATAACTATTATGATTAGACTAATGGATGCTAAGATGGATAGGTCAGTTGGTAGCCATAGAGGTCAGATTTGATGATGGAGATCAAGTCGTCCATGTAACAACTGATAATAATTGACTAACTCTATGTAGCTCGATTTATGGATGGCGAAAAGCTATATTGTTAGAACATAATTGTGAGCTTGGACCATGGTGGTTGCCTCCTTACAACGGTAGGCTCATGAACTCCTGGTAAGAATGATTTGATATGATGCAAGATCTTTAAAATCGTAGCAGGGTGAATGGCTACATGAGGATTCTCGTGAATAATGCGAGATAGCTAGCTACACTCGAGCAAATTCACTAACTTGAATGAAAGGATAGAGCACGGGATATAAGGTTAGAAGATGAGATGTTGTTTCTTGTCTAATTGATAATGATTTTTTCGAGTAAAGTTAATGAATTTAGAGGTCCCATATCAACTAGGTTAATGTAATCAAATTCAAAGACTAGTTTGGAACTTTTAAAAGAATTTGGCTATCAGCCATCTACTACTTGTCTTATTCTAATAAGGTTATCATAAATCAATTGTTGCAAGTCTTTTGCTACCCCTATTTTCTTTAAATTTTAACACTTTAGTACCCAATCGTTGTTTGAGTCGGGTCGAGCATTCTTTGTCAAGCAAGGAGTTTGCTTGATTAGTAGAACAAACCCCATCATTATACTTAAGTATCCCTTTGCGTAAAAAGGGCTATAGCATGCAGAGCTATGAAGTGATTGAAGAAGATGAAGGTACGCAGAAGAAACAGAGGGAAAGAATAGTTTCTATCATTCTGTCTTGAATTACAGAGTTTACAACTATATATACTAAAGCTATGGGTTATATACAGGTTAACCCGTGAATACATAATGAGGAGGTTTAACTGTTTATTACAATTAAGCTGTGCTAACATTCCCCCTCAAACTGACAATTTTGAACAATTGTAAGTTTGGATCGTAGAAGTTTGAATCTAGGAGTTGTTAGCGGTTTAGTGAGAATATCCGCAATTTGGTCGATCGTGCTAATAGGCAGCAAGCGGATGTCATGTTTCTGGATGTGATCTCGAACGAAGCGTTGATCGATTTCAATGTGCTTGGTTCGAGCATGAAAGACCGGGTTGTTTGCTAAGGCAATTGTAGACATGTTGTCACAAAAGATGTCCACCGATGAGTCATGCTTGATGCCGAAATCTGCTAGGAGACGCCGAATCCAAATGGTTTCTGCCGTTGCGGATGCTAATGCTCGGTATTCCGATTCAGTAGATGATCTTGAAACTGTAGTTTGCTTTTTCACGGTCCAGGAAACAATAGTGTCGCCGAGAAAAGTACAAAAACCAGAAGTAGATTTTCGGGATACCGGATCGGAAGCCCAGTCCGCGTCTGAAAATGTGCGAAGCCGAAGGTCTGATCGAACAACTGGTAGACCAAATTCGAGCGTTCCTTTGATGTACCTCAGCAATTTCTTGAGTTGAAAAGAATGAGATGCAGTCGGATTGTGCATGTGTTGAGAGAGAGAATTGGCCGTGTATGCTATGTCCGGTCGAGTTAAAGTCAAATATTGCAAAGATCCGATGAGCTTGCGATACATAGATGCATCGAAGTAAGCCGCGTCATCTGGTTTTGCCAATGGAAGTTTTGTAAAAGATGGGTTAGAGACCGAGTTGCAACGTTGCAACCCAGCCATTTGAACTATGGAATTGGCATAAACTGATTGAGATAGAATGTACTTATCTGGAAAGGTGTCGATCTTGATGCCGAGAAACTGGTGAGCAGTGCCCATATTTTTCATAGTAAACCGAGAGTTGAGTTGAGTCATAAGCTTTGTAACGGCTTGGGAATTATTGTCGGTAAGCAGGATATCGTCGACGTATACTAGCAGGTACATCTCAACGTTGTTTTGCCGAAACACTAGTAGAGAAGGATCCGCTTGACTATGTGTGAAGCCAAGTTGGGTAAGGAATGTTGTGAAGGTGGTGTACCACTGTCTAGGAGCTTGACGAAGACCATAAATGGCTTTGTTCAGCCGACAGACATAGTTAGGATTTGCCGGGTCTTCAAATCCCTTGGGCTGCCGCATGAATATGGTTTCGGTGATATCGCCGTGAAGAAATGCGTTTGCCACGTCTAGCTGATGTACGGGCCATTTGTGGAAGAGAGCGATAGTAAAAGAATCCTGATCGTTGGTAGCTTGGCGACGGGACTGAAAGTGTTGAAGTAGTCTATCCCATGTTCTTGTTGATTTCCAAGAGCCACTAGTCTGGCTTTGAATCGGGCAACTGAACCATCTGATGTATGCTTAGTTCGGTATGTCCATTTTGAGCCGAGAACGGGCTTGTTAAGAGGAGGAGGAACCAACGTCCATGTTCCTTGTCATTGAAGAGCAAAAAATTCTTCAGCCATTGCCTTTCGCCATTCGAAATTCTTGCTTGCTTCGGTATAGGAAGTTGGGTCAGGTTGTGGTTGTTCACAGTGAAGTAGATTAAGTCTAGTGACAGGTTTTAGAGATCCTGTTTTTGCCCGTGTGGTCATGGGATGAACTTGGATGGGTTTAGAATGTGGCCGAACAACATCTTGTTGAAAGATGACTGGTTCGGGATTAATAGACGACGTGATTGGAGATTCAGCAGGCTCAGGTAAGAGCTGTGTTGGTGGAGAAAGTGTTTGTCCCTGAGTAACCGTAGAATGAGGAACCAGTAGCGATGGTGGTAAGTTCTGGGATGCGATTTGTGAATCGAGCGTGATCCTGTTGTGAAACGGAAAAGAAAATTCGTTAAATTTAACGTGTCTAGATACGATTGTTTGATTTGTTACCTGATTAAGGCATTTATAGCCTTTCATAGTATCAGAATACTCAAGAAAAGTGCAAGGTGAAGATGTCGGCGTTAATTTGTTGCGTTGAGTGGGCGGGTTGAGTGGATAACACTCGCATCCGAACGTCCGAAGGTGAGTATAAGAGGGAGTAATGCCGAACATGCGTTGAAGAGGCGAGTCATTGTTCGTGGTAGTGGATGGCATACGGTTTATAAGATAGACCGCCGTATTAGCGGCGTCCATCCAGAAGGTCAGAGGTAAGCCGGCGGTATGAAGAAGAGTTCGGGTTGTGGTAATTATGTGACGATGTTTGCGCTCCGCAACGCCGTTTTGCTCGGGAGTGTACTGGCAAGAATACTGATGGATTATGCCGGACTGAGATGTGAATTGTTTAAAAGAATGATTTATAAATTCGCCGCCTCCATCCGTGCGTAAAATCTTGATTTTACGGTTCGTTTGCCTCTCAATTTGCTTAGTGAAATTAATAAAAATACTAGTTACATCAGATTTAAATGTGAGCGAAAAAAGCCAAATATATCGAGAGAAATCATCTACAAAAATTACATAATATCGGAACCCTTGGTGAGACATAACCGGGGAGGGTCCCCAGATGTCTGAATGCACCAGTTCTAATGGTGCTTGGGTTCGGCTAGTAGAGCGATCAAACATAAGCTTTTGTCCCTTACAAGAAAGACAAGAGTTACAAACTAAAGGTAAAGAAGTAATGTTTAAGAGAGGATTAGCATAAGAGATTTGTTGTAGTATGCGATGATGAGGATGGCCAAGCCGACGGTGCCACAATTCTTTTGATGCCGAGGTAGCAGAGAGAGCTGTGGAGTGATCGGACTTGTGCCGAGCTGCGAGCTTGTATAGACCGTCTTTACAAGGTCCTCGAAGGAGGATTTGCTTGGTCACACGATCCTTAAAAACAAAGCCATTATTGTCAAAAGTTATGTTAATTGGGTTATCTTTAACCAATTTCGAAATGGATAGTAAATTATATGATAAGGAGGGAACATGGAGTAAACGAGTGAGAAACAACTTACTGTTGGGGGTAGGAAGGATTCCTGATTCCGTATGGGCGATAGGGATGGACCTTCCGTCCCCAATGGTTACGGAGTCATTTCTGGAATATTCGTTGTATTCGTCCAATCGAGCGATTTTGTTAGTCATGTGAGAAGAAGCTCCGGAGTCGATGTACCAATCGTTCGACGGGGTGCTTGTGTTATTAACAAGAAGAGCATTGTTGTTCTTGGTTGTTGTCGACGTTGGAGTATAGTTGTTGTTCAATCGGTGCCAGCAAGAATCTGCCGTGTGGCCTCTCTTTTTGCAAATTTGGCATATAACGATCGTGTTCACTGGCTGTTTGTTCGGCTGAACAGGGTCTGACGGTGGACGAGTTCGATTGCGTCTGCCTCGTCCTCGACCCGCATAGAGAGCGGCATTTGAGTCCGGAACGGTGGGAAATTTTGATGCTGCTGCTTTGAGATGGATCTCTTCACTAATGAGAAGAGCATAGAGAGTATCGAGAGATAAAGCATTTTGCATAGTGCGTATGGTGGTGGTGAAGGATTGATATGCCGGTGGTAGCCCATTCAAAATGTAGATCATAACGTCCTCGGAATCAACGGATGAGCCAGCGGATGAAATCTGATCCACAATTTTCTTGACCTCGGTGAGGTATTGCGACATGGACAGATTTTGCATTGAGATATTGTGTAGTTCATGCTTTAGCTGGATAACCTTCGATCTATTTGAGGATTGAAATCTTGTATGAAGAGTAGACCATATTTCATAAGTCGATTCGAGTTGAATCACGTAAGGTAGAACCGGAGGGGAGATCGTAGAACACATCGTTGTGGCGAGATTTTGATCCGTAATCGACCAAGAATTGAGATCTTGGTTCGGATCAGCATTCTCGACGGAGGATTTAGGTTCAAGAAACCGAGCAAAACCATTTGCTTTGAATAGTTTTGCGATTTGAGTGCTCCAAATCGGAAAGTTATCCGGCGTGAGCGAATGAGGAACGAGAAGTTTGAGATTAGATATTACAAATTTGAGCGATGGGGAAATGCCGGGCGTGGATATTGCAGCTCCGGTGTTGTCGCCAACCGCCGAGGTGGAAGTAGAAGATGAATTAGCCATTGATCGGCGCTGGTCTCAGAATCAAGAGACTCTTGATACCATGAAGAAGATGAAGGTACGCAGAAGAAACAGAGGGAAAGAATAGTTTCTATCATTCTGTCTTGAATTACAGAGTTTACAACTATATATACTAAAGCTATGGGTTATATACAGGTTAACCCGTGAATACATAATGAGGAGGTTTAACTGTTTATTACAATTAAGTTGTGCTAACATTGATCACACTATACAAGCCGAACTAAATGACCTCTTTGGACCATTCTTACCTCGCAAAAGAAATCATACAATATAAATTCAGTCTTATTTCGACCTTCAAGGTAAGATCACTTGAGGGTTGGAAGGGAAAACTTATGATCGAGTCTTCGAAAATATATCGAATATTTGCGGGTTAATTAAGGATAACATCTTGATAATATAGTAAAATTTTTAATGCAATAAAATTTTCTTCTTGAAAATAGGCACCATACAGTTTGATTTTTTTCATTGAATGAAGAAGAGTTGTAATTCTCCATTGAAGAGGACAGGCTGCCGGAGTGGATACGACTTTGTGCGAGATTGAGTGTGGCAATCAAAATTATTTGATATTATCAAAAAGAATAATTATTGTAGCTTTTAATAAGCACGTTGATGACTCTGATGCGTTGTTTGTATATATAATATTGATTGCGATGAATGGAAAACGTGGTGGTAGGTGCTGCAACCCAAATGAGGTTTGGTCTTTACTTTGTATTTTCCTTTAATAAGCTTCTTCAATTGGTGGACTGTTGATATGAGCGACTTCACAATGGGGTCAGTGAGGGGTCCAAAGTATTATTAAAGGTTAGCTGGTTTTTCTTAAAAAGAATTTATAGCCGTTTGAGATAATTTATTTACTATTTTGATTTTCAAGATCAGAATCATAGTTTACATTATGTTAATATTTTTTTGTTATTTTTTTAAAAAAATTGTGCTAAGAAAACTTTTTTTTTTTTACAAATGCTTAAAAAAAAAAGTAATTTCTATGTAGTAGGTTTACAACTGCATTTATAAAAAATCATAGCCGTCTTAAATAGACCTTTAGTCGTATCTTCAGGTGATTTCATGTATCGGCATCCGGCATTCCCTTATCATGTACAAAATAAAATAGTACCACCGTTGGAGAGGCAAACACCACTGTTGGAGGGGAGATAGAGAGGAGATATGTTTTTCTATTGATTTAAAAAAAAAAATTGAGTCAATTAAGCCAAATTCATACACACATTACATAAATAATATTCGAACCACAAAATCTTTTGATTGATAGTCAAAGTTCTCAACAAATTAATATTAGATGGTTTTATGAATTTTTACGATTTTGTTCTTTCATGGAATCATTTTTTACTATTGTTGGTTCTTTTAATATGATTTGTAATGATAAGTTTTAATTTTTATAACTTTCTACATTACAATATTATTTTTGTATTAAAATATTTAAGAAAATTTTTAATTTTTAATTTCTCACTAATAAGGACAAATAAAAATATGTTATATTAACATAACATAAGTTTGTGCATTTTATCCACCGCTCATCTTAGCATGTCCAAAAATAATAATATTACTTAAATTGCTAAAAAATATTTAAAATATTTTAAAATAAAATTTATGTACTTCAAATTTATATATCTCTAATGCGGATAATTCTCTAAAAAAAATATTAAATGAAAAATAAATATTAGTTTGAAGAGAAAAGTAAGGAGAAAAGACTATTGGTCATGTATGCAATTCATCTTAGAGAATTTTATGAGTTCTGCTTAGTTTTTGTTTTTTAGATAACATGCTCAAGCACGGAAGAGTATATTATATGACAATGATCGACAATAGGAAGCAATTGTTGTTGTAGTTGCCTTAGCTACTACAAGGTGTAAATAATATTTTTTTTAAATACTTTGTGGCCTTTTATGAGTTGTTTTTATATGACCGATCTCTATAAATAAATTGTAAATATTGGTCTCTAATGTAGATGAAAAAAAATTGAGAATATTTTTATGATTATTAATTTGTATCTCCACTAAGTAAATTTTCTTTGGTCCACCTTGATTATAAATACTTATTAAGTTTGAAACCTGAAATAAAGAAAAAGGGAATTAAGAAGCTCCTTACAAT